AAGAAATAAACAGTTAAATTAGAAAGCACTATAAATGGCTTAGTGCAACTCACGTCCGTGAGAGAAAGTTGAGAGACTAGCAGTCCTTCAAGTCTGTCTGATGCCAGATCTTCCTCTATTTGTAGAGAAGCTAGGTTATGTCAGCACAGCAGCCAATCACAAGGCAGGTCACCAACCGCCAGTCCCCAGCTCCAGAGAAGTCTCAAAGGGACCTCAACTTACAGCAACACAGTCCACAGGATAGGTGTCCCACAGGCAGTGTAGCCTTTAAATTGAGGCACAGAATAAGCAAGGCAGCCGCACACTGGTCTGACGATCACAGAGCGAGAGACAAGAAAGGCAAGGCTCACCAAGCCATCCATCTCTCCACCCCTCAGTCAATCCCACCTGCGTTTATCAGCCAGGCTGGCACAATAAACTATCTCAGTATGTATCTAGGAAAATTGGAAGTGGTCAAAAGTGAAATACAATGCATAAAGATCGATTTCCTAGGCCTTAGTGATCTGAATTGTACTGGTGTTGGCCATTTTGATTCAGAAAATTTTATGATTTACTATGCTGGGAATGACACAAATCAAGATGAATGGCGTGACATTCATTGTCAAAAACGACATTGCACAATCAATCTTGAAGTACAGTGCTGTCTGTGATAAGATTATATCTTATCTGCGTTCAAGGAAATCCAATCTCTGAAACCATAATTCAAATGCATGCACCAACCACAAAAGCTAGTGATGAAGAAATTGAAGAATTCTACCAACAACTTCAGTTGGAAATTGATCAAACATGTAGTCAAGATTGATTGATTATTATTGGTGACTGGAGTGTGAAAGTTGGAAACGAAGGGACAGTAGTTGGAAAATACGGACTTGGTGGTGGACACGAAGCCAGAGGTCGCATGATGGAATTTCCCAAAACCGAAAGCTTGTTTATAGCAAATACCTTTTCAACAGCACACAAGGTGACCACACACATGGACTTCCCCAGATGGAACACACAGAAATCAAATTAACTACATCTGTGGGAAGAAACATTGGAGAAGCCCATTAGCAGCTAAAACCAGGCCAGGCTGACTGGCACAGATCATCAAACAGTCTGTGTGTTGAGCGGATCATCTGAGGAAGAGTGTGGCATCAGGACTTGAGAAAAACTTACTAGCAACTAGCAACATGTAGATGACACGACTGCTTGCTGAACGTGAGGAGAACTTGAAGTTACTGATGAAGATCAAGGATTGCCGCCTTCAGTATGGATTCTAATTCAATGTAAACAAAACCCAAATCTTAAAACTGGACCAATAGGTAACATCATGATAAATGAAGAAAAAGTTGAAGTTGTCAAAGATTTTGTCTGTCTTGAATCCACGATCAGTGCTCAGATCAAAGCAGCAGTCCAGAGATCAAATGAGAAATTACAATGGGCAGGTCTGCACAGAACCTCGTTAAGAGTATTGAAAAGGAAGCTGTTACTTTGAGGGCTGAGGAGGGCCTGACCCAAGCCAGGGTCTTCTCCCTCACCTCCTGTGCGTGTGAAAGTTGGACATTGAATAAGGGAGGCAGAAGATAGGTGCATTTGAATTGTGTTAGAAAAGAATCTTGGAAGTACAAATGGGCCAACTGATGTGCCTTGGAAGAAGTATAGCCCGAGTGCTCTTTAGAAGCAAGAATGGCAAGACTTTGTCTCATGTACTTTGGGCATGTCAGGAGAGACCAGTCCCTGGAGAGGGACTTCATGTTCACTAACGTAGAGGGGCACCAGTAAAGAGGAAGGCTCTCAAGGAGATGGCTTCAACAACGGGCTCAAGCATAGGAGCAGTGGTGG